ACGAACGAGCCGAACACGAGCTGCTTAACGAGCCGAACACTAGTTGTTTGCGAACAACGAGCCAAATTGACAGCCCTATCTTATATCCTCGCAAAATGTGAGTAAAATCTATGAATGACATCTTATCTACTATCTCATTTGCCTTTTCAAAAATTCAACCTGAAACCTCACGATAAACTTTCCTCATTTCTCATCTCAAAATTCTTCCATGGAGGTCCATGCCTTTATATGAAATTTCGGATCTCACACTACCCATTACTGACATCGAATCCAGCATCATCATTCACAACACTCTCTATAACGACTCTAAAAGAAAACCCCAATGGCCTAAGACTTTAATTGTAATATTGGCTCTAATCATAAGGGTTGTGATTTTGCACCGACAAAGCATTCCAATTGATTTTATGCCCTATAACTCTTCTCCTTTACAAAATATTCACATTATTGTATTCTTAAGTATTTGTGGTGGTACAGTGAGAGTATTTTGGCCTTGTCAATTGTTCAATAGAACTTGAGAATCTATATTAAGATACTTTATTGGCTGATCATAGTACTTCTGTTAATTATAAACCATTCTTCCATCGTTTAAGCTGCATAATGACCTCAAAATTATATGATCGATTCAATTCGAACGGGACATACATTTTCTTCTAAACACAATATTAAAAATTATTTAATACTTCAATTAACAGCATAAAACGCTTAACAATATTTTAAGTGGTTGATTTGGATTTATGTGAATTCGGATAATTTTTTTCTTGATGTTTCATCAAAATATTTATTCTAACTAAGAGTGCATTGAGATTGGAGTTTCATGATCTTAAATTTTATCTTAAACATATTTAACAAATATTATATTGAATTCTTTATTTGACCAAATAAATTTTTTGAAAATATATCAAATATATTGATGTGTGCTAGAAAATCTGGGTAATGAAATAACAGCTTATCATCTTAACATGGTACGGAGATTCAACACACTAAGAAAAGAGAAAGCAACTAATAATGACCCTAGAATTTTTTAAGTGAAAAAATTGGAAAAAAAATCACGGGACCTGGAAGAGTTTCATTATAAAAAGATGATTATAATTACAACTACTTATCCAACATTTACTAAGTTTTTCAAGTTACAACGTGGACTGAGGGCGACCGATAACGATTGACGGCATCCGGTCAATGGTGGTCGATGGTCGGTGACGGTCGACGACGGCAGGAGTGCTTGATGATGGTCGCTGGTTGTTAACAGAAGTCAGAAGTGGTCGATGATAGTCAGTGGTGATCGAAGACAGTTGGTAGTGGTTGACGACTGTATTAGTGGTGTTGGAATTCAATTTCTTCTCAAAACTTCATGTTCTTTCTCAAGCCTCAAGCTCTCGTCCTCTCCTCATGAGAAGAGTGGTGCGCTATTTATAGAGTTTTGGGTGCAATTAATGTAGGAATATGAATTAGTTTGATTAGACGGCTCAGAGGATTTCTCTTAATCAGACGATTTTCTTGATGATGTCAGAATTGAGTAATCTTGACATCATTAGACTCGTATTGTCAAAAAGCTCGATTTGACTATAGACTCATCAGAATCGACATTTAACCTTTCATATATGTCCAAAAAATTTCCATAAGTGGTTTAATGGCTTGAGTTGTGTTTGATTTGGTTCATATTAAACCAATTTTAGTAACATTGAGTTCTTCATGTCGAGCCAGTTAATTTGACTGTAAATTTACTGAAATGAGAGTTTTGGATTACATCTTATAGATGTTTGAATATTTTTTATTCAAAAATCGTCTCGACATCCATATCATAGCTCGAGATTAATGCTAAAATTCGTTGGATTAGTATCACATATAAATGACTGTCTTATTTGTCAGCTCAACATATTTTTATGGGTGCAGAATCTTCAATCTTAAGATATTAGCATCTCCTCCAGAATTCTGAAAATTCGAACACGCACAATGAATAAGCTGCGTAAACCTCAGGCATCTGTAATGCAAGTTTGAGCTCAATGTCAGCCCATTCTGGATTATTTTTCACCTTTTTTTTCCTATTCTTATTATATATATCTTTTAATATATATATATATATATAAAATAAAATATTTAAAAATTTTAAAAATAAAAAAGGGGGTATTTGCATACATATCACCCAATTCTTGTTCCTATGTAATTAGGTGCCGCCTTAGCACCTAAACTTTATATACTCTATTTATACAATTCACATCTTTCACGTCACATTAAAATATCTCTTATTAACAAATATGATATCATGCGTAGATAAGACAATATACACATGTATGTATATATGTGTGTGTTTATATATAGATACATTAAAGCACAAACTATAAAAGAAATGAATCATACAAAATGAATCATCAATTGATCCAAAACAAATTATATTTCAAAAAATTAACTATTATCAGTTAAATTGCTACCATTATAATTTTGAACAAAAGTGGAATACTAATTAATTTTTAACTTTTTTTATCATAATAAAAATATATTGATTATTATTATTATTATTATTATTATTATTATTATTATATACATATTATTTATTTATATATTTTTTATACTATTTATATACTGTCTTTGGGTATTGAAGGGGGCACGTTAATCTTCAAAAGTAAAATTGATTCAAGCGAAAGGTAGCACTTAGCAGTTCTTAACCGTGATGTAATTGGCGGCTACCTACATATTCATTCCCCTGTTTTTGTCCATGAGTTTCAAGTTTGAAGGCAGCCAAAGAGAGAACGGCTTTTCTCAACAGAATTTGGAAATTGTTTCATAAATTAGCAATTTGACTTCAACTTTTCAGTTTTCTTTGTAAAAATATTTTGCAAATATAAAATAAATCTCTTACTATTCAATCCTCCTCAGACAATAATCTGATACATAATATCAATTTTACAAACGAAGGAATTAAACTTAAAAATGGATAAAATACACGCAGCCTCAAGCACAGAGACATGTGATATGAATTACAGAAGCACACAGATGAATAGATGAAATCTAAACTCCATAAACAAATTATTGACTCAGAAGAAGCTGGCCAGAGATAAGCCAAAGATCAAAGCAGAGAAGAAGATGGGCATGGCCGATTTGTTCATCCTTCCATCAGAGGAGTCACCATTCGTTGACTTCGACCCGCTGCCTGTTGATTAAAACCCAAAATATATGATTCAAATCATAAAAAAGACAAATAACAACAAATTACAAAAAAAAAAGTCATACTTTTATCTTTCGAGAGTGAAATCTTGAAGAAAATGAATGTACCTGAAGGGGAATCTGCGGGTGCAGGGTTGACGCTGGGAATTGTTGTTGATGGGGTCGTCGGAGTGCTTGGCGCCGCCTGAGGGGAACTCGACGGAGAGCCTTTCGAGCCACCTGCCGCAGCTGATAGAAACACATTCCAATAAAAAACATCAGTCTGCTTACAAATCCTTCACAAGTGTAATATTTTTTTTTTGCCATTACAGAAGGAAGAAAATGGTTACCATTGCATTGGCTAACAGGGGGAGTTTTAACTTTGCAAGCGCCAGGGAGAGTTAAGGCCTGTGTCTGATTAATGGTAATGCCTGCTATACCTCCTCCTCCACCGAGCACCGTGCAGAGACATTGAGCCTGCGTTTGCACAACGGTGGCAAGCTGGGAGCAACAACTAGAGGTAGGAGCGGAGGAGTTGCCTGAAATATAGCTCAGGCAAGGTGCAAGGCTGATGAGGGCGGTGGTGCAGGATGACTGGCTGGGGGGGGGGAGTCCAAGCCCCCCCCCGCCATGACGGCGGTTGCCAGCAGGAAGATCTTCATTGATCCTTTTGCCATCACTTGTGTAAGAGGAGGAGGAGGAGGAGGAGGAGGAGATGGCTTGGTGGTGTTGGGATGGAGGGGATGGGGGGCTTATAAGGCTGTGTTTTTGGGAGGATGGCAATTGGAAATGTAGAAGCTGGTTGTATTATTTTGAGTGGGTAACCAACTTTGATCTACTGGTTGTGATATTTTATTGGGAAGTAGTTTAGCGTTCCTTGAAGACTAGAGAAACTGGTGGAGTGGAGTTGTATAATGTAAAAGGGAGATTGATGAGTTGTGATATTTTGAAACAAAGATCGAATTTTTAATATTTTATTTGGGGCTCTTTAGTTATGATCATACCTTTGATGATTGTATTTATTCATTTGTCTGGTATGTTTGGCTCATGGTGATATTAATATTTATCCATTTGTTGATTGTAATTAGTTTTTGGAACTTTTTAATAGGGGAGAAGGAAGTTAATGATGTGGATGAGATCAAAAAATTAGTAATTAACTTGGGTTATTCTGACATAATGAATTTTTAATGAAGACTACTTGATTATGTGTAAGGAATTTGATGATATCAAATTTTGTCTGAAGCTGTGTTTCAAATAGGCCTAAAACAAGCACTTAAGAACTTAGTTGAAATTTTCTATAGGCCATTAGAGAAGTTATACGACATCAAAGTTTTGTGTATTTATCATTGAAAAATAAAAGTATTTTAATTAGGCAAATATTAAGCTCCCGCAATTTTGAGTTTCTTGATACAATAAAATATTTAAGAGAATAAAAATCAAGGAGGGTGGCAATTTGGCGCATTGTCATTGGTTGTCGGTCTCTTCTTCACAGAAGAGGCAGGCTCGAGGCAAGCCACTGCACCATAAATGATTGTGGTTTAGCAAAAAAAGATAACGATCAACAAAAAGGAAATGTCAAGAAAAAAACCAATCACAAAAAAAAACGGTATAACAACAACAACACATGAGGCTATGCAGTGCTCGAAATGCCGAGGGCGAGAAATCGAGACAGAATACGACAAATCGCTAACCATAGCAACTGACACATGGACTGAAAAACAATATCACACAAAAAAACTCAATAAGTGCCTCGAGGGAAAGCAATAAGGTAATGAGTGAAACTCTAAATATGGAGCGAGCGAGAGAGAGAAAGAGAGAGAGAGAGAGAGAGAGTATATATAATCCCATAACAAAAGTGAAACTCCTAGTATGAAGAAAAAGACTCCTCCCAAGCGGAGTCGCCGGATTGTTTTTGGTTTTTTTTAAAAGAACACAGAGTCTTTTGCTTGTCTATGTATATGTTGTATTATTATTTTGTACTTCAAATAAATCTCTCTCTTGAATCAAATAAATGATTCAAAAATGAGAGGATTCGAAAAGAAGATTATACTACAATAAATAGACGAGCAAATTTAAAAAAGGAACATGGAAGACTTATGTATAGATAACCGTCACATGAAAGGTCGAGAGTATACGTTCAAACAATATCGGATCCAAATACTTCGAAACACAATATCCACAAAGATAATCCCTACATAAACCACCCAAAACCAGAAAACCAAAAAGAAAATTTTTGTTCTTGGGTCAAGAGAGTCTCCCAAAGAGACAGATTACTTTGGTTAATTACATCTTTGAGGATTCTCATTAATGCTCTTGATAAAAGGAGTTTTGCTTATATTATCATAACCTGGTGAAATAAGACACCATTGAATGATTATTTTATATAGAAATGTCTCGATGCTTCAAAGATCTCGCTCAGTCATATAGCAGAGAGTGAGTCTCTCACATCCCAAATTGGAAGCAGCTCATCAGCATGTGAAACCTACGAAACAACCAAATCGTCTCGATGGGGATATTCTTATACTTTAGAGCTCAACGGGTCATAAGGGCAGAGGGCAAATCATCATATCTCTAATGGGTTGCAGCTCATCATTAATTGAGTCATCAAGATGATACCAACGAAGTTAAAAATGAACGACATAGCTCAAATGGGCTCAACAATGGTCGATAGAGATAATCGGGTTGAGATACCACCTGATCGTGAAGGCTATCAACCCAAACATCTAGAGATCCCCAATCAGCAATCTGTGATCTGAGTCGTATGCAGGGGCCTCACTAGCTCTAAAGTCAAAGAAACTAAACTCTCTCCGATGGCTATCAGGTGGAGCTTCAAAAGGTGAGAATTATACCCGCTAAAGTACCGAGGATGCCGCTTGAAAGAGAGGAAAAATGAAAGTTCAGCTACAAAGTTAGAAACACTCCAAATAAATGACTTATACCCTGTATGGGTCGGTCAATTCTAAAAGATCAAGCGGTTGCGTTGAGGCGTTAGATTGAGCTCAAAAATGGGTCGATCGGGCCACACAGGATATCAGACCCAAAGAGGGTTATGAAATTGGTGTGATCAATCAAACCCAAGAGATCGGAGATCAGGCCAGGATGGCCGATTGAGCCAAAAACGGTCGGTTGATTGTATTGGTGTTGCTGACGAATCGAGGTGACCATGCAGGCAAGCATGCAAAATGCAATGATGCCACAAATGATCATGCAACCCAAAATACTTGATGACGCGTTGAACTTGCTCTATTGCACGAAGCAACGTGACCTTGCCAACCATTTGTCCTGTTAGAGCGGAGGGTTTTCTCACATGGAGAACTCTCCACGATCGAGTGAAAAACTACTAAATGGATGTCATCAGATCATTTGATGTCACTTGTTCATCCAAGTGAAATCACTGGAACAGACAACATGGTTGGCGTAACCATGTCTTTTATGGGATTTTGGTGATAGGGCTTCAAGGAAAAAAATCCTTAGATTTGTATGGGAGAGTCCATGAAAGGCCCATAACCTATCGGTCTCCTCTAAGCACATAAATCCTAGTCCTTAATCCTATAACATCTAGACCTAGGGGGCCCTAAGAATGTAAAGAATAAGAGTTTAGGGAATTTATCACCTCCATGGTGGTTGATCAACGTCCCGAGTTTGATCCTAGATGAGTCTTACCTACCGATCCTAGAGAATTTGTCAAGTGCATTCCCCTAAAGCAACGAGGAAGCTCTCCTCACCAAAGAGATTGTGAAGTCCGTCGGAGTTCCCCTTCTCCAACGTAAGATGGCGTGGGCTCGTCAAAATTTCACCTTCACTAAGTAGCATGACTCTCTCCTAACCCTTAACCTGAAAAGTTCGCAGGAGAGGGAGGAGATGACTGAAAAATAAGGAGAGGAAAAGAAGAGGAAGGAGAAATTGGAAGATCTTAGTTTTTCATCTTCTTGAGGAAGATGAAGGAGCCTCCCACTTGATCTCCTTGTTCTAAGCTCAAGAAAACTCTAAGAAGATGAAGGGGACTCTCACACTCATCAGTTGCTCTCTAAGAGAAGTCTCTCTCAGCCCAAAACTAAAAGTGAAGTCAAGATGGGGAAGAAATGAGGATCTCCTAGGTTAAAACCAGCTCACCCAGCGCAATCCCCAACTTGCCTGTTGTTTATGCCAAAAATGGGCTAATGAGGGTACTTAGAACCTTCCAAATGACACTAAACCTACAGCCATTACATCCCCCCATGCATATCTCCACAAGCCCAAGAAGATCCCTGCAATTTCGACCCATTGGGGGAGTACATTGCAGTCAAATCGGCGTAAAAAATGAGTTTTTTCGTGATTTGGAATTAACCGACATCTAGGCAACCAGTCTAGCACCCTGGCGCCTAGGCATCCAATCTGGCACCCTAGCGCCCGGGCTTTAGGGCCTAGGCCACACAAGGGTGGCGCATGCTTTCCTGCCTCCAGGGAAAATAGACTATTTTGAGAATATTTGGGCACCAAGATTCCCATCACTATCGCCTAGCGCCCAATATGGAGATAAGCCTGCCTGTGTTGTATGAATGATTTTTATGGTGACATCAAATTCAAAACCATTCTCAAACATGTTAAACAGCCCAATAACATTTCCTTTTTCACAATTTCCACCTAAAAATTTAATGCAAATTTCCCAAAATACAACTATGTCGTTCATCCACCATCACACATTGTGACTTGCTTAACCTCCAATATTCCACCCACCCCAACATGATATGCTCCAATTTAAAAATGCTCACAAAACACGTCTTGCTCCGGTTGCTTGCTAATTAGCTCTGCCAGCCCCCATTTTATCATATATTTTTACGCCATATAATGAATTTGGAGGAGTTGGTAATCGGCGGCTTAGCTGCTAAAAACAAGGTTTTAAAACTAATTTGCTCCTTTACGTGGGTGGATGGCCAACCATGCACACATGGCAAGCTTTCACAGGCTCTCATGCTTCCGCCCAGTTATTTGAATTCATATTTTTCTTATATTTAACATATTATTATTGACTGCAATTTTTAATTTATTTTTTAATTGAATCGAGAAGAAAAAAATAAGCTTTTTTACCTTATGTATAATAGTTTCCTTAAGGTTAGTTAAGCTACTAACATTATATAGTTTAATAATTCTATTAATTAAGGAAGATTTACAAACATACCACTGGATTCCTATGTATTTACATATCTCACATCTATACCTCAATTTGTTACATAAATACGGCCTTACTTATGCAAAGGTGCATTTCACTTTGTAATAGTTAAATTAGTAGTATTTTATTTGTGAGTTTATGATTTTGGGGGGTATAAATGTAAAAAGTAAAGTTTGATAGTTAGCTAGATATGTAAATATGTAAAATTGGGTGGTATGTGAGTGAACGCCTCTAATTTTAGATGCTTCATGTCATGATGGCTTAGTTGACATATAAACATTATTTTATATGCTTAATATTAGAGTAGAGTCGACAAAATAAATAAATTAAGGATCGGTTATTTGATATTGATTAGTGCTATCGGCAAACGTAATCTTTGGAGCATAGCTCAGAAAGTGGTCTTAAAATAATCAATTATGATCTGTGATTTTACATAATTATGGGAAATTATTGCCTTCTAAATGAGAAAAATCAATATATATATATATTAAAAAAAAATGATGAGAGACTATTATTGGAGCCTCCAACCACCCTAAATGTGTCTAACAATTCTACTACCACCTCCTTAAGACCAATTATGCCAGAAGTGATTCAAACCCACGACCTGAGGGGTCTTATATCTTAAATGTCAACCAACATATCGGTATACGCGGCACCCTCAAACACACACACACACACACACACACACGTATATAGGCAAATAGTGTTGGGGTCAAAATTTTCTTAAAAAATGGATAATCATGGCTTCCTTTAGTTTCTCCCACAAGCAATAAAAAAAGCATATTCCCCAGTTGCTTCTAAATATAAAAGTACATTTCTATAACTAATATTTTATTTCATTTTTATTTTCTTAAAAATAAATTATTAAAGGAAATAACTCTTGTTCAGATATTTATTAAAAAAAAAAGAATAATCTCAAAAATTTAGATTTTTTTTTTTTTAATTTAGACAGAGCGAGCACTCAAATCCGATATATTAATATCTATCATTTCATTTCCTACCAATATGACTGATTTGACTAAAGTTTACCAACACTCCATCAATATAAAAATAACTATATAAACCGCCTAAGCAAGGTTTGCTTAGCCACGTTTCACAAAGCACGGAAGCATTGAAGATTAACAAACTAGACCCCAACACACGAAACCTGCACCTGGCCTGATATGAACACAGTTAGCTGAGTTCGGTAATCTCCATAAACCAAACTTTGAGCTACCACTTATCCAACCAAACTATAAAAACAACTTAATTACTCACTAATTCTAACTACAAATTAATAGAAATTTCACAAACTAACTAATCTGAACAAGATATAGCCATGAAGAGATACTCGGCAGGATCTATCTTCTTCTTCTTGGTTTTCTTCTTCTTCTTCGCGGCTCATCTTCCTTATTCGGCTAACGGGCAGCAGATATCGACGTCATGCACCAACTTGCTTATGAAGAGCTTCACTCCCTGTTTGAATTTTCTGACAGGGAGCACAAATGGAGGAGGAGGTGGATCTCCGACGTCTGAGTGCTGTAAGTCACTTGGCGTGCTGATCAGTAGCAGCACGCAGTGCGCTTGCCTTGTAATAACTGGCTCTTCGTCTCTGCCTATTAATCAAACGCTTGCCATCTCACTTCCTCGCCTTTGCAAGAACACACATGTGCCACTTCAGTGCAATTCTGGTTTGTTAATTAATTCTTCATTCTTCTCTCTCTCTCTCTCTCTCTCTCTCTCTCTCTCTCTCTCTCAAATATTTACATGAATACCGCTCACTTTCTACTTAATTACATATCTAGCACTTGATATTAGCAGTGTAAACGAGCCGAACACAAGCGAGCCAAGACTGAGCTCGTGTTCGGCTTGTTAAAAAAAATTACGGTTCGTGTTCGATTCATTTATATTTTGAATACAAAAAGTGTGTTCTTGTTCGACTCATTTGCTTAGCGAGCCGAACAAGAGCTGTTTGCGAAAAAAGAGTCATTTTGACAACCTAATTACGCACTCATAGGATGTTACTGATTGTAGCAAGATTTAAATTTTTGTTCACCGATAAACCTTTGTTCTTATTAGGCTCCTTTATATATTGAGCTCAAAAAATTGTTCTTGTCCAACTCGTTAACTTAGCGAACGAATTGAACACGAGTTCTTAACAAGCCGAACACGAGTTGTTGAGCTATTCACGAACATCGAACCTTTTAGATAGCCCTAACTAATTTATATCATCTCATCTATGCATAAAAAATGTGTATTTCACATTTTAAAAATTAAAACATTAATGTCTTTGATGTCGTATAAAAATTTTGGGTGGTATATATATAAAAAGAAAAGTTAGATATGTAACTACATAAGAATGGGGTGGTATGTATATGTAAATGGCCTTATACATACATATACGTACAAAATATTATTTTTTAAAATTATAAAACTACCACAAGGTTTGTCAGCAATTTTTAAAATTCAAAAAATAGAGGTAATGAAGTATTAATTGAATAAAAAAACAAAATGTTAATATTATGCATAAAATTATTCTTTTTCATATTCACATATAATCGAATTTCTAAATTTACACTAATATTATATATTTATTTATTTGCAGACGTGGGATCACCAATTCCAGGTCCAGGTACATAATTAAACAAAAAATTATTTTATGTGGACACCGCATACAAAGTATGCATGTGGTGTCCGATCTCCACTGTTGATCACCATTTTGGTGGGACCCGCTTTCATTTTTTTTTTTTAAATCCGGTCGAAACGGTGATTGACGGTGGATAATTTTTCTAATTAAACAACCTATTTTCAAATTTTTCTATCAACAAATAAATATTTTAATTAAGCTATTATATATATATATATATATATAATAGCTTAATTAAAATATTTATTTGTTTAAAATTATTTATTTCTAACCTAATTTTTCGTCTTTCTCTAAAGGTCCAGTCAGCTTTTCACCTGCGCTTCCTCCACTGCCAACTCAGACCGATACTCGTAAGAAATTTTCTTTTTCATCACAATAGCCATAGGATCGTAATTGGACGGTATAGATTCAATCCCATTTGTTTCCCCCTCCCTGCAGCTCCATCCGGAACAGTGGACTCACCACCACCGTCCGTTATTCAGTCCCCACCTGCAGCCACATCTCCACCGTCCATCTCTACCACTCCGGCAGACCAAGGGTCTGGTGATCAGGGACTGCAGCAGTTGATTCTACCTAATTCAGCTTTGAAGATTTCAACCCTACACTCTTCCTTTGCAGTGATGTCTATGCTCGCAATTATCTACTTATTTTAATCTGATTTTTTTTCTTTTTTTTTTTTTTGAGGGCTTAGATCAGTTGTTATATATTGTGTATGGGTAGGATTCATAGTAGTTAGGGGTGGTGTGCTTTTAGAGATGTTCTTTGTTTGATGAATGCATTCTATTGGATTATGGAATAATAAAAAAATAATGTAATATCTTTTTGTTTTATTCATTATATATAGTGCACTCAAATTATTTTCCCCAAATTACAAAGAGTTTTTTTGGCTCAAACCATTTGAAAATCTTATAGGTGTGTGTTTCTCTTTTTCATTATTTACACCTCTAAAACATATCGGTTGGTTGATGGTCGACTGTGGTGCACAAGATTCAAGCGAATTGATATGGGTGTACTGATGATGGAAATGGGCTTTAAGACCTCACTTCCAGCAAAGTTGTGGTGTGATAACCAAGCTGCAATTCATATTGCTTGAAACCCTATTTTTCATGAACAAGTATAGCATGATAAATATCTATGATCGAGCTTTAGAGGAAGTGTTATGGAGAGTATTAAATCTAACGGGGTATATTAGAAAACGTGGATATTAGGAAGATTGATATTAGGTAACCAAATTAGAGGAGATCTGATTACAATACATTTTCTAATATTAGAAATATTCATAATATATAAAAATATAGGTTTATACAAATATGTATTGCATTCTTTCAATTCAATAATAAGAAGATTTTCCATTACAATATGTATAGCTTTAAGTGCAAGCTTCGTAAATTCCCCATTCTATAGAAAAAATTCAAGTTTCAAAATTTGTTATTTATAAAAGAAGGGTATTTAGGAATTTTTTTAATGAAATAGCCATCACTATTAGCTTAAACCAGAGCTTTTTTGTTTTAAGAAGCACAAAAAAATAGGGTTTCTAAATAGTATTATCAATTTTAAATGCATGACTTTAAAACACTATTTAAAAAAAAAAGTTATTTTTAAACAAAATTTTATAAAAAGAGAAGTTTAGCAAAGTTACACCTTATTCGTTAAGGGATATAACCAATAAAAAAGGAAAAGATTATTTAAAGACTTCCTCCCCCATCGCCAAAATGATCACCCAAAAGCTCATTACTCATTATTAACAATTAGATAGTGAACCAACTTAGTGTTAACAACTCCTAATATGAACATTTCCATGAAGAATATACATGGACATGGACTTTCCATTAGGATAACCAGTCGGAGGAAGCAAACCACTACATTAAAAAGAAACTTGCATGCAAACTTTACAAATCCATGTACGAGTTTAAACAAGCCTCTAGTTACTGGTACTCAAAGTTCATTACATTAATCCACACTTGCATTACTCAATCTAAGTATAATTACATGCTCTACACTAAAGAAGATGTACCACCATTCCTTACACTCTTAGTTTACTTGGACGACATTATCATAATCTAACCTTGCCCTGAACTAATCTCTAATTTAAAGTCTCTTCTCCACACAAAATTTTAATTAAAAGACATTGCTAGGTGAACTTACATACTTTCTCAGCCTTGAAATTGCTCAATCTAGTAATGGACTTGTTCTATTATAAAGCCACTAAGACACTAGTTTCCTTGCCTGCAAGCCAAAATGCACACCTATGAATTTTCGCAACATACTCATTGACAAATGGAGATCTATTGTCAGATGTGTCACCATATAGATGCTTGATTGGGTGGCTCCTATATTTAAAATTCACTCGACCTGATATCATATTAGTTGTTCATAAACTAAGTCAATTATTGGCTCAACTCATAAATACTCATATGATGGCTACACATAATATTCTAAGATATCTTGAACCAACTTATAGTAAAGGGATATTTTGCTCACTCGCCTCTTCATCTCAAACCAACGCTTTCTCTTATGATAGTGGGGGATCATCCTCATTCACTCGAAAATTTGTTACTGATATTTTCATCTTGTTAAGTGACTCACTCGTTTCATGAAATGCTAAAAAGCAACACAGTTTCCTACTCATCAGCTAAGATAGAATATTCTGATTTGAATGCTACCACTAGCAAAATAACTTGGATCTAGCAGCTTCTGAAGGACTTCCATATTCAAATGCAACCTAAGGCTCTACATTTTTTTTAATAATCAAATAACCATGCACATCGCCATAATTCCCATTTTTCATGAAAGAACTAAATAGATTGTCATCTTATTTCAGACAAGATTGTTGATAGAATGATCAAGATCATGTAACTCTGGTAAGCAAATCAAGCGCCCTCACTCTACAAAACCACTAAATAAACATGTCATAAAATTCATACTATCCAAAAACGATTATTCAAGGCATTCAAAATCCATCTCAAAGGAGAGTATTAAGGATATCGGTCTACTAGTCTACCTACTGAAGTCTTATAATAATTCTTGTGTGCTATTCTTATTTTCTATTTTGCCATTAGATAGATATATTCATAGTACATGTACAAAGGGAAGTGTGAAATGAGAAATGTAAATAATAATCTTCGAGTTTTTCCTACTTTTCATTTCTTTCTTGGTATTCATGTGTCTTATTTTCGTACTACTACTTACTCGTGAACTTTTTGTTTAAAAAAATAACAATATGAAAAATTATGCATAAATCATTTTTACAATAAAAAATAACTTAAAAAGAGCATATTTATGCTTCAAAAAAATGTCTTTATATGATGAATAAAATTTAAGGGTTTTTATTTTTTATTTTTTTTGCCCTAAATCATCCGTGTTGAATTATAAATATTTGATATCAATCATAAAATGATAGGTTTGATGTCACATTAGAAGTTCAAAAGGTAGTATATCTTAGCAACACATGATATACTGAAAAAATCTGATCTCAACTTGATAGCTATGCTCTAGAGTTAAAGATCAACTAAAGTAATAAGTAAATGTGTGTATGTGTGTGTGTGTGTGAATAAGAACCCCATGTGACATACAAGTCACAGTGTGCAAAGCGTCTAACCTATTCACTCATGGGCTCATAGGTATTGGAGTGCAAAGTCTCAAACAACGCACTCGATCAGCCAGACTTAGGGAATGGACTCTTAGTCACTGTTTCAGACAAACAATATCCGCACAGGGGAGGTCGTCGTACTTATCTCAGGACTCTCTCTCTCTCTCTGTATGTGTGTGTGTGTGTGTGTAGAAAATTTAAAATTATATAGCCACAAAATAGAATTGCTTGCAACTTTTTATTAAAAGAAAACTAAAACATCAAAAAAATAAAAAGAAAAAGAACAAATTTATGACTTTAGATTAAGTTTGATTAAATAAAGAAATACCACTAGAATATAATATTACATGAATGGAATAACCATTTGCAAAATTTGCTCCTGCGGCAACGATCCACTACTCAGATAGAAAAAAATATTACAAAGAATAAGTTAATTATATAAACTCAAGAATTAATTTCTATTTATTCAAATATAGACAATAAAACACATAAAATATAAATTGAATGATAAAAGATGCATGATTTATAGTGCATAATTTATGTAAAACAATTATTACAAAATTAATTTATAATAATATTATATGACATAAATGATAGATAAAATATCAAATAATCCACAATAATCTATGCTATAGCACACTAACAAATCTTCATACCAAAAAAAGAGTAACAAAAGTGCATTTACATCCTCATACATCTATGTTTATAAATACTTCATGTAAATAAAATAAAAAAAATTGACTCATCAATCATTTATATAATAACTTCATATGTATTTACATGCATATACCACACCTAATTCTATGTATTTATATTGCTTACGCTTAAACTAGATTTATATATATGTCACTCAAATCACGAACATTGCTTTTTGAGCTCATCTTTCCCAAAAAGAAAGAGAGAGATTCATATATACTGTTGATTGTCAATCTCTTTCTTTGATTTGTAGAATGAATGGAGGCATCAGTGCTAAGGGAATGACGACCTCCTATATATCACACATGCGCGTTACTTGAATTTGTGGATTGGATTCAGGTTCAGCCTAACAATGACTTAACAAAAACATAATTAACCTGAACTCAACCTACATAAAAAATATTCAAAACATGATGAGTTATGTATACACCTAAAAAGGCTTGCTAAGTTGTCAATTTCGAGCATCAAGCGATCAAGCAGCCAAGTTGTTAAGCTGTCAAGCTAATAAGCTGACAAACTATTTAGTTGTTGAGTTCAGCTATATGGACATGACATAAAATTATTGAACATGACATAAAGCTGCAGGATATGACATAAAACTGTTGAAAATTATATAAAGTGTTGGATATAACTTAAGATTATGTACTTTTATATAATTATTTATATGATGATAAAATGACACCTAATGACTTATAAGTAAAGGTGAAATGTAAAAACAAAAAGGAAGAGGCTTAGGGAGGCAGGGCTCTCTCTTTTTATGAGTTGCCCATCCTCTCTCTTTGTTTCTCCTTCTACTCAATGTTAGTAGAATTTAAGCATAACCCACACACATTATGGGACCCTACGTCAAAAGATTCTACCTCTTGAAATGACTAAATGTTTATCCAAAAATAATTTTCTTTGAGCAACAGAAAAGCCTAAATATTAAATGGGCCTCATGAGCTTAATTGATCTATCTCACAAGTTGTGCATTCAATGGTCTGTCACTGACTTGATCAACTGTACTCATCGGTTGTACCTTTGAAATTGACAAGCTGCTGAGCTCTTTACCATTCAGAGGAATTCTACGAGTACCTTTGAAGTGCATGAGCATTCCTACGAGTTCCTCAGAATGAATCTATCCAACCTTAATCTTCAAGCAAGTCATTCCAGTTAAACTTGCATACATTACACGAGTTCTTATTCCATAATCTTACTAGCAGGTTAAACTTCCTAACTAAACTCATTGACAACTACCTGGCTACACCACCGAGCAAGACGAGCAATTCTTCGAGACAATGAAAAGAATTTCAGGATATAAAAATACATACTGCTATTTGTTAACAACATGACAATTCACATCAGTGGTCTTGTCGACAATGAGTGTGCTCGGGCAGGCCCTGTACTATGTAGCATATAACCTAACTTTTATGTTTTATTATGTAGATCCCTGCTTGGGTACAAAAACTTCTTTGTATATAAATAAGAGAGGAGATATCCCTCCCGCCCTCCCTCTCCCTCTCTCCCAATCATATACCCTTAATAAGTGCTCTAAGAAACCCTTAAGCTTCTCTCACTCCTTCAAGGTCTCTTCCAGATTATATGGGTTCATGAAGTGTGCAGGATCCCACATTCTAAAAATATTTGATAGGTTAATAAACCCTAAACTTGATCCAACATACCCGAGTTTAACATTTTTTTTTTGTTTTTTGGTTTTTTGGTTTTTTTTTATGACCAAAATATTGCATGAGTTGACTTTAGCTTACTTTTTTAAACGTGAGTTTAAGTTAAATTTTTGTGTTAAATCAAAGGTCTGTTTGGGACATTTCAAAATATTTGAACAAATAATTGTCAAGCTCTTGAAGAAACATATGTTGTTTAAAAAGTTATGATAACTATTATGAATTTAAGATATTTTCAAAAAAAAATCAGAATGTAACTTTCTAGTACTAAGCTAGACATCTCATTTTGCCAAAACCCGAACCCCCACCCGAACGATATCATCCTTAATAAAAACTTTTGCGGTCGTAAGTGCTTTTATTCTTTATTTTTTTATTCTTATTTTTTTAAAGTAGATTTTATGAAGATTTCATAATTTTTATATCTTATAAATTATTGAGTTTTAATCAATAAATTAATTAGAATAATAAACAGAAAAAAAATACCGGTGAGTTTTCAGATGAGATGTTTACATTAAAATGAAAAATATTTTGACATGAAGATTATCGCACTAAGTTGCTATGATATCATTCCCATATATAAACTCAATTTTATCTAATTGTTAGATATGGTTAGAATTTTCAAATCATTGGTACTAGTTACATGCAAAATGTGGAGAAAAATAATACATCGTGAGTCTTGATGCAATTGTACATCATGACTCTAATCACAATACCCCACGTGTATCGTCTGACCCCACCCAATACAAAAAAACTAAATAGTTTAATGCATGACAGGATTAGACCGATGACATCGATCACAAATTGTACGTGATTGATTAGATTATAGATCGATGCCTACAATGAATTCTGCCCAAAAATGAATATTTTATAAAGGAAAAATTTACATACATACCACAATGTACATGTTTTTAGATATCCAAAGACTAAACTTAACAAAACCTTCTGAAATACATCTAGAAATTAAAGGAGACATGTGAATCAGCCGAGTCATGTAAACCTTTAAAAGAAAGACTGAATGTGACAATATATGAATCCCAAGGGAATGAGAAATAGACTCAGGACCCAAATATCATATGAGAAGTGATTTAACACCTCAAATATACTAATAGAACTAATCATGGTTAGTTCCAATGACCAAAGAGAGACCGCACTCAGACGTATATATATCCCTGGTAAAAATCAGTATATATTCAAATCTTCTGTAAAAAGTTAAATAAATATAACACAATGGAAGTTAAACTACAAAAATTGCAAAGAAGCAGCTAAAGATAAAAAAAATGACAGGAATTTAATGGTTATCATTATTACGCTCCCATATTATAGATATTTTTGTGATGAATGCTGGATATTTTATATTAGCCACTAGCCGACATCCCACAGCACAGAGATAGCATTCAGACGTATCTAGATGCCATGTAAAATGAGTAAAATATTCATACCTTCTAAGCCTGACACATTTTGCTAATCAAACGCATCCACTTTTTTAAATTAGGGACTTCATTTTATGACTAGCATGATATCAAACGTAAGCCTCAACTTGGTCAAAATACTGAATCAGCAGACGGCATTAAATTAAGTGAAATTTACATACATGACTCCCAATTCTTATGGATTTACATATCTGACACCTAAAGTTTGAAGGTGAGTTTCACTTTTCAAAAAATTAGTTTAAGAGTGTAATTTGTTAGTATGATGTTAAAGATATGAGTGCTATTTATGTAAATATCAACTTTTTAAGTGTTTTATACATAAAATATAGAATTGCATGGTATGTATGTAAATGCCCCTTAAATTAAACAAAGCCTGCGTAAGACATTAGTAATAAAAGTAAATTAATTGAACCAAAGATTAATTCCATGAACGTAGGTAAACCAAAAACAAGAAGCCAAGTTAAAAATAAATAGCTTACCTCATGGAGCAGGGGAAAAGCCGGTCACCAACAAATCAAAGTAAACCCTGTGCCAATTTCACTAATTCTCACTTATCACCCTATAAAGGAATCCATCATTACCACTTGGTTCATATCAAGGAGCACCAGTAACACAAGAAGATCAGATCAGATAGACCACAATCCCTCAATAAATCCGACCACCGGCAAGCACCACCAAATGGCTCTACGAAAACGAGTGTTTGTTCTGACTCTATTCATGATCACGATCGTCAGACTTGTGCCGAGAAGATCGTCTGCACAAAGTGACTGCACATCGACAATCATCAGCCTAGCCCCATGCCTGAATTACATAACTGGCAGCACTGATACACCAGCTGTGGCATGTTGTTCTCAGCTGGAAAAGGTGGTGCAGTCGGAGCCCAGGTGCTTGTGCCTTATCCTTGATGGTGGAGCGGCACAGTTTGGGGTCACTGTTAACCAGACCAAAGCTCTGGAACTCCCCGGCGCATGCAGTGTTCAGACACCACCAGTTAGCAGATGCAAAGGTATCAAAATAGTAGTTTTCATATCTCCAATTCTTTTAGCTCCAGGAAAATAACGAGTAGTGATTAGAAGTCTCATACTTTAGTTTCAAGAATATAACATAGAAAAGCAATTCAGTTCAAAACACGTACTTGTCATTACAGACGCTGCTGCAGTTGCGCCAGCACCCCCACCAGGCAGTGGATCGGAAACTACTCCCGGCGGAGTTTCCCGAGGAAGCTTTCTACAACCAGTGGCTTTTCCTGTTGTCTTCTCTGTGGGCTTCATCATTTTGGCGTACTTCTCAATGCATTATATGAGCTCCTAAGCATGAATCAGTTCTTTGCTCTAGGCTTCTACAATTACACATGCTGATATTTGCTTTTTACCCTGTGATTCTGTGTAACGTCAAGCTCTTTAAAGGCTTATGTACTTCTATGTGGTATAGTAAAGAAAATCTGTAAGGCTTATTTGATCAGAGATACTCTCACTAATATAGCGGCCAATGTTTGTGCTGTATCCCGTATAATTTAACTTTTTTAATACCATTATTTGCCGACCAGCAAGCATGCAATGGTTGAGAATTACATAACAAAGCCAAAAACAGAAGCCTAAATTCAACAAACTAGTTCTTAAGATAATGACTCAACAAATAAACTGCATCGGGAAGCGTGAAAAACAATGCAAAGAAGCGGGAAATAAAACTGTATCTGGAAGCAAGAAAAACAATGCAAAGAAGCAAGAAATAATCACGTTCGAATCAGCATTAAGAGAAAATTTCCTTAATCAAATATAATTTCATCACAAACAGCATAAATAAGAAAAGTACAGCAAATAACTTCAAAAACAGTACTTGAGTCCGGATCATAACACTAATTCAGAAATACATTAGTCTGATGAAATGGATTCACGCCATGCATACTCCCTTGCTCCATTCTGGTCTACAATCTTGATCACGAAATTTGGTGGAGCGACAACCAGTCTTGACCGGATTTCAACAATGCATTTATCTACGAGATCAATCGCCTCTTCCAGCGACATTCCACTGCGAAAATACCTATCCATCATTGCTAAGGAGAAATAGGAACCATAACCAAATGCACCCTTGTCTATCTTGTGGAGAGTTGCGATGTAGTCAATGTAGTAAAGAGATGGTCCAATATCCTTATCATAGCCAGCCAGTAGAATGTTAACAAAATATGGGTTCTGGAGAAAATATGGAAAATTTACATTGGTAAGTATTTCCATAATAATTTTCATGCAACTATATCAGCGCAGAAAGACAAGCCGCAATAAAGTATGTTTGCATGCAGAAGCAAGTATTGTATTCCTCAAGCCAACTTGCCTGTGTCTATCAGCTCGTTGCATTAACAATATGATTATGCTTATTAATGGAAATTTAAATCAAATCAATAACCAAGATGAAATTGTGCTAATGATTTTTCTGAAATTAAGATCATGGTTCCACGATACCGACTATAAACTAAACAGAAAACTAGACCAATAATTTAAACAAGATCGCAATGAATTGAGATAATTAAGCAATGACAATCGAAATGTGTTGATTGCAAGATGATAACAAAAATAACCAGAAATTGCCTTGAGCAAAAAAAGAAAATTCAGATTTGATGTTCATAGAAATCAAATAACATGGTCACTCATGATTAGGAGTTTTAATTGTGATTATTTTAACAGCACCCAACAATGAAAAGTTACTTGCCAAAAATCAATCAAATATCCATATATTGATTTATGTAAGCAAAAAAACAACAGCCGTGAAATCAAAGATTGTGCACAGATGATGTATGCAAAATAACATCAACGTTAAACACCCCTACTCAACCACACATGTCGTGATGTGGTTCTTGGAGCCTATATAGCTTCTCTCATCCGTTTACAACAATCCTTTTAGAACTAAATGGGATAAGAGGAAGTTTTCCCAAAGCAATTGCCACCCACACCTGGCACAAGTTGGTGCAATGGTCTTGAAAAAAGATAGCCCCAACCTCCTACTACCACTAAGAAAGACTTGGTTTCCTTACCATCCTTCTAGTCATGTTACCTCCGGGACTTGTCACCTTCTATGGTTATTTTACTCCTATGGTGCCTAATTGCTAATCATATGGCTATTTGATGCAGAAAAGGGGAAGTTCTTCATAGAATTTGATGGGAATCGAGTTCCTTGTTGCCCTCGAATATTCACACCAGTAGAGTGAGAGTTTGTCATTTTAGTGTTGATGAAAATTTTGCACAGATTGAAAGTAACACATAGGAGAGATGGGATTTTATTCCTCAAAAAATTTGAAAGGAGAAAACCCACAAGGCCTAACAAATTCAGATTTGTTCCAGTATGTGGATTGAAAATAGCAATGATCTGCAACTCTTCGTTGTTAAGAGGGGGAATTCCAAGTCATGAACTATTGAGGTCATCTCTTGCAAAGGGGTGCAGAATGTTGGAAAGCAATTAAAGCAATGGATTTCAGAGTTGATTAACAGCGGGCAATGGACAGGTGATAATAATTGTCAGCATCAAGTGATTGTGGAAGAGAAACATGAACCATGAAGGATGAGTAGTGATAAATGTTGACGTCTATTGATGACAGGTGAAGGTGGATGTCAACATTAGTCGACAATGGAAGACAATGGTCGTAAAACTTAGTAAATGGGGAGTGATGATGGATATTAGTGTCACTATGATGTGCCACAGTTTATGCTGCCATCAGTCAACAATAGCAAGAAATAAAGCCATCAAAAGTCAAGTGTTAATAAGGTAGTGACAAATGTCATCCTACTAAGGAGAAAGATCAAGTAATTGAGAGAAGCAAAAAAGAAACATGCAGAGGAAAATCCCTAATACATTGATCAGATTTCCAAGCAACAATCAAAGATCGAAAATTCTCAGTCAGGGATACCTCTCCATCAAAATCATCCTCAAATGTGCATGAATAGGTTTTATTTATAGATTTCAAAAGAGGAGATTGTGGCATTTCTGCCAAAAATTGGAACACTTCATCAAATGATCTCAAAGGATCCCCTTCGTTCATGCTATGCTTTTTTTATATATCAAAATTGCAATGAACTCATCCATCGCCTTGTAATACTTTCCAAGAGTTCACCGCAATAGCTGGAGACAACCCCAATAACTCAAGTCGTGTAATCTTACCTCCTCTGACGAATCATTGAATAACCTAGTGGAACTATTCAAACCTAGGACAAGATTCCATGGTTTATACCTTTCATGGGTCGTCTGTTATATGTATATATGTGAAATTTAAATATACACTAACATGACAAAATATTCTTCTATCATCATGCATATGCAATAATTCTCGTGTCATATCTGATGCAACAATTCTCGTGTCATATCTAAGCCAAGCTTATTGATATAGCTTTCAACTATGAGAGCCAAATTTCAAGGAATCATATAAATATTCAATTTAATTTCAACTTCTCTTTTCCCTCTTGAAATTATCTTATGTCTGTCCATCAAAAGGCTTAAGAAAATTTTATCATTACACTAAAATGATACTGTATTACATTACCCATTACTCATAAGCATGATTTGAAAGAAATTAGTAATAGGAAGTTTGATTACCAATACAAAAATATTTACTTATTCGTTATTATTTATGTTAAAAGGCACATGAATTTAAAAATATTCAATATGGCCAACAATACGAATCACATAAATATACAGTAAATAAAATGAAAACATACAAATTAAACAAAAAATAATTTTGGTGTTACTCCAATTGTTAATATATATGATTAGACTTTTATGCTATAAACAACTAATACTTTAAATTCCTTCTTTTCTCGGTTCTTCCTTCTAGTTTCATAATTACAGCATCTACATATTCCCTGATAATCCTATGAATATATTTCTTGAAGCATTATTTCTGAAGAAATAGTGCCTGCTTGATGTGTAAACCTTTGCCACCACTGCTCTATCATTGTTGATAAACTCACAAAAGCTATTTCACACTAGTCTCTTTTTAATTATTCTTTTTCATTATTTCCCAATCTTCTCCAATTATTAAAGATTAATCTCATTATTATACAGCCTCTTCCTTCGTAAGCCTTTTTCAACAATTATAGCTTGATGTTATCGCCAGTTCTCAATCGACTCGGCTACAATTTAAGCATATACTGTTACCACTATTCCTCCAAAAACCTCAACTTGCAGATCTGCTAATCGCCTATCACGCACTTCTTAACACGTGCTTCCTTATCTCTTCGCCTTTTTTTAGGAAAACACCTCAATTTGCCAAGATTTAAAATTCAGAAATTTGAAAAAAGTTTTGTAATGCTAGAATTCATGAGCAGTCAATTGAAAGTTGTTAATTTCAAGTGAAACTGATAGAATTTATGCAGCATTCTATTTTTATTTGTTGAGCCATTTGTAGGCCTTAAATTTGACTGTGGGGTATACGAACTTGATTAGACTTTGAATATTAAAATAATCAATTTTCACACTTCATATGTTTGCATTTAAATGCGTATTCTTCAGATGATTCATGGTTGTATTCCCCGAGGGTGTGCCAATATAATTCATGATTCTTTCCATTCGGGCGCTTTCCTCCTTATTTTAATTGTTTGGTCATTGGTTTTCATGGGAGGGGAAGATACGCACACGCTTTTTTTTTCCTAAATGTGAACTTGAACAGTGTTGAAATTTGTTGTCATTTTTTTTAGATATTCTCATTGATTGTAAAATTATCTTTTGGGATGAACGAAAATCGTCCGTTCCCCTAACATAACAAGCAAAAATTTTACAGAAGTTATGATTCATTATTCCAAAAAACAAGAATTCTTATACGCTTTCATTTTACATCTCATTCTATGTTACATTAGAAATCATGTACCCTCAAAAATCCTATAACAAACTGATATTAGAGCCTAAAATTATGTCATGTCAATTAAAAAAAGATAACACTCGGATCAATAAAAACTAAATAAAAAAAACATGTATTTTAAGTTAATCAAGTAAATCATGGTTCTAAAGGAATGCACAGCTATCATGAGGATCAAAGTTATTTGGAGGCATAAATTAGAAATATTTTCTTAATTGTTCCTTTGAGCATTACCATATATTTGAATTTGAAAGACATGAATATGTCAAAAATAGACTAGTAGGCCGTACTTAATCATTTTTACAAGGTATTGCAAGTAAACCAATGCATTAACCTAAAAGACATTACAGCATAAGAGAAATATTAGGATCAATTGAATAATCACTTCAATGGTTTTGGACAAAATAATTCTAATGCATTTACATACATGATATTTATGTGTTGGAACTTTAGAAAGATTTTAATTTTAATCTTCTATTTTAGTATTTTCCATTTTTAGAAGTTAGAATTATTTGTGCTATAATTCTTTTTTTTTTAATCATGGGGCGTTGTGGCTGATTTTATGATTTTCCCAATATGAGAATTATTCCTTTCCAATGGAATTGAATAAGAATACTCCCACCCTAAAACATATATATTATCACAGCCATCGCCTTAAGAACTACGATCGAATCCCTTCGATCTAGTCGTCTGCGGGTTATGCCATTGCAAGAAGCCTTTGCTTCGCTCTTGTCCCTATCATGATTAAAGCTAGCTAGGAAGGCAACGGGCTGATCGCGGCGTTCAGCGATTTGTGATACAATCGCAAATAGAGCTAGTCGGGAAGGCAACGACTGGATTGCGGTGTTATGAGACTCGTGATACGGTCGCGATTAGATCTAGTCTGGAAGGCAACAACTGAATCATGTCATTCAGAGACTAACGTCGCTTTTATTCCTTGTCCTTCCTCTGGCACCAACAACAGGGTCAAAACTGTGCAAGTCGAGTATTTGAACCAACACATGTTTCTTTCTTTCCCTCAAGGTAGCCACTGCATGTGTTGTTCTTCTCAGATTTGGGGATGATATAAAAATCAGCAATAATGACGGGAGTGCAAAAACAACTCTACCACATCTACTAGTTTAGTAATTCTGAAACTAGCTCACCTCACCCTACACAGCTCCTCTCATGGTTGCATCGACTGAGTATTTTTTTAGAATCTACTACCTTACCTCATAGTCATAAAACTTAATGGACAAAACTACCTCAAATTGACTCAATCCATAAAAGTGAAGATCGACGACAGAGGCAAAATTGGGTATTTAACTAGATAAATTTCAAAACCTACAAATAATAATCCAAATCTAAAAATTG